AGTTTTCCATTATGTGGGCCAATACATTCTTCGAATTGGACTTTCCGTTGCTTGCAACAGAAAGATTTTTGGGTAATGCAATCCTCAAACTCATAGATTACTCAATATGCAAAGGCTGCACTTGCTGGTTAATCAGCCGCTTGTGTGTGTGTGTGTGTGTGTGTGTGTGCACGCGTGCGCACGTGTAATGACTACAGGGGTCTTCACATTTAAGTTACATTTAAGTGTGCAGGGGAATCACCTGGTAGAACTGATTGCTGGTCTTTACTGTCGAGTTTCTCATTTTGCAGACATGAGGTGTGACCAGAGAATCTGTATTTCTAACAAGTTCCCCAGGGATGCTGTTGGCCTGGGAACTACATTTGGAAAACCACTAGTGTCATGGAAGCCCGTGATTCCTGAAATCAGGACACCTGGAATCTTGGTGGTCCAAGCTTGAGATGAGGGAAAGAACCATGGCAGTATGTTCCAGTAGTTCATGGGAAGTTTATTCACCCAGCTTAACTCCCAGAGGAAAGGTTTCTCAGTTCTCACAATCTTTAAAAATGTCCATCATGCCTCCCTCTGGAAAAGTTCAGGGGCTGTTATGGTTTGGATCTGGAATGAACCCAGAGGCTCCTGTGTTGGAAGCCTGGGCCCAGCGCAGCAATGGTCAGAGGTGGGAATGTGGGGAAGTGACTGGATTGTGAGGACCGTCATCTCATCAGTGGATTAATCCATTGATGGGTTCGTAATTGAATGGACTGTTGAGAAATTATGGAAACTGGGAGGTGGGGCCTAGCCTAGTTAGGGGAAATAGCTAATAGGAGGGTACATCTTGTCCCTGGCCCTTCCTCGCATGTGTTTGTACACGCTGTCTGCCCTCTGGCCACCGTGAGATGAGCAGCTCGGCCCTGCCATGTGGTCCCTGCCATGACGCTCTGCTTTGCCAAAGATCCAAATGGGTGGGGCCAAGTGACTAACACTGAAAGCTCTTAAACCATGAATCAAAATAAAAATTTCTTCCTTTAAATTGATTTTCTTGGGTATTTCATCACAGTGATGAAAAGCTAACACAGGAGACTTGAAGACCTTCCAGAGGGCTGGGGAAGTAGCTCAGTTGGTAGAGTGCTTGCCTTGCATGCACAAGGTCCTGAGTTCAGTTCTCAGCAACACACACACACACACACACACACACACACACATGAGCTGTCTGGCTCGTCATTTTGTGGTTTCCTCTGTACCCTGGAGCCATAACAGGAGAAAACACAAGACCATCCAGGGCCAAGTGGAAGGGAACAGAAACCCCTTTCTCTTGACTCCTTTCAAACACAACATTCACAGCCATGGGCCTCAGGCATACTAGAATTCTCTGAGCCACACCAGTAGCAAACTTTCTCTTCTGTTGCTCTCATCATTTCTCTGAACATCAGGAAGTTTCTAGTCTGTTTGGATCTAAACTAAACTATATCTCTCAGATGGTTTGGGGCCCAAGAATGATCCTTAGACCTCCACAGGCTCAGATATTTGGGTTTGGAATTGCGATCATTAGATCATGGTGGCCAGAAACAGTGGCCCCTGATACTAGGGGGAGTCATAAAACAGTGTCAACCAATGGCCGGGATGGGATTGTACTGCCCCTGAGGGTCAGAGAAGGGACTCTTCACCATCCCACAAGGTCACAGGTAGATGACTCAACTGCAGGAAATGCAGTGGTGGTGTTTTGCATACAGTGATTTATCAAATCCTGACACTACATTGTAATCTTAGCCCTCTTTTACAGAAGGGAAAGCTGAGGCTTAGAGATGTTGGTAATTTCCCTATGGCTGCATGTGGTATCTTGAAAAATGGCCTCTCAGAGATTTCAGTTCCTAATCTCTGGGGCCTGTAGATGCTGCCTTACATGGAAACAGGTCTTTGCAAGTGGGATTAAGTTCAGGATCTTGACATGGGGGATTATCCTGGATTATCAGATCAGGCCCTAAATACTATTTCATATATCAAGGAGTACATGACTTCACCTCTACCTACTCACAGAAAAAAAAAAAAAGCAATGTAACCATGGAGCTGGGATATTTGAAGATGCTGGCCTTGAAAGTTGGAGTGATGAAACCACAAGCCAAGGAATGATGGCAGCCCCCAGATCTTGGCAGAGCCGAGGAGGGATTCTCTCCAGGAGTGTGTGAAGGCAGCACAGCCCTGCTGACGCCTTCGTTTTAGTTCAGACTTCCAGCTTCCAGAATTCTTGAGACAATTTCTGTTGTTCTAAACCACCAGGTTTGCAGCAACTTTCTACAATAGCCTCAGGAAACCAATCCACAAACATCCAGAAATGTGCCCAGGGCTGTTTGGCTCATCATTTTGTGGTTTCCTCTGTACCCTGGAGCCATAACAGGAGAAAACAAATTCTGTTCCCCATGATCTGCACTTAGGAAGGACTTGGAGATATGTCTCAGCTACTCTGGACCACTGTCAACTAGGGAAGAGCCAAGTCTGTTCCAGGGGTTAAATTCTAAGCTCACTATGAAAAGGTACCAGTTAAAGAAAGGCAACATTACCCTTGTCCCCCCACCTGCCCCCAATACCAGTGACCAAACCCAGATCCTTGTATGCTCTGCAAGCACTCCACCATGAAGCTACATCCCCAGCCATTATTATTATTATTATTTTTATTTTGAGACAGTGTCTTGCTAAGTTACCCAGGCTGGCCTTGAATTTGCAATCCACCTGCCTCAGCCTCATGATTCACTGGGATTCTAGGGTGGGCCACCATGCTGAGCCGTAGCATTATTCTTGACAGTGCCTCAGAAGACATCCTGTTGGAGACCCTGTGCCTCCCAATGAGTCCAGCAGCAGCCATTTGTCCTAGGGCCATCTTCTCTTTGGGTAAGCAGCAGGGGTGTCTGTAGAGTGTGTGAGACCTAAATTGGAGTCTCCACCATGCTTAAAATACTCTTGCACAGGGGGCCCAGATCCAGAGCCCAGGGTAAGTGGAACATTGTCCATCACCTACTGCCTATTGTGGGAGATGACTACTCTCTTTATTAATTAACATAATAAAATGTACTGATCTTAAGTGTACAGATTAGTGAGTTGCAAAAATCATGTATGCTGTTTTAACCAACACCCAAGCAAGATGCAGAGTACTACAAATTAAGGTGGCAGAGTTTACCACCCTGAAATATGTCACTTGTTTGGAGCTGAAGGCATTTGAGAAACAGCAGATACAAGAAGAGCTTTCTGACCTCCCCCTTCCTTCCTGAAAGCTGGAGAGAAAACGCCCCGGTAGAAGCTGTCCTCCTTGTATCAGGAGGAAAGGAGCCTTCCTACTGCAGAGCCCGGAGTAAAGGGTGGGAGAATTCTGGAGAATTCTGCCTTTAGTCTCCCCACACATTTTAGCTATTCTCCCATTAATTGCTTCTCTTGTACAACTTAATTTTTGCCACTTCTTTGGGTCTTCATTTCCTTCTGAGCACTTGTGTCATTTATTACATTTATATATTTTTCTTCTGTTAATCTGTGTCAATTTTATTCCTAGGTCTAGCCAAAGATCCTCAGAGGGCAGTGGGAAAGTTTTCTTCCTGCACACCTGTGTAGAAAGTCCCCTATTGTCCCTTCCAGTTAAACACCTTCCCAAGAGGTGATCATGGTCCAGATTTCTATCCCCATAGGTTAATCCGAGAAGAGTGCTGTCCCGTAGAAATTTCTGGCATGATGGAAATATTCCAAATCTAGACTGACTAGTATAGCACCTATGGGTCACATATTCAGCCCTTAAATGTGGTTAGTGTGGATGAAGATGTAACATTCTTTTTTGGTGTGTGTGTGGGGGGTACCGGGGATTGAACTCAGGGACACTCAGCCGCTGAGCCACATCCCCAGCCCTATGTTGTATTTTATTTAGAGACAGGGTCTCACTGAGTTGCTTAGTGCCTCGATTTTGCTGAGGCTGGCTTTGAACTCATGATCCTCCTGCCTCAGCCTCCCAAGCTGGTTGGATTACAGGCGTGCACCACCTTGCCTGGCTAAGACATGACATTTCTATTCTGTATAATTTTACTTAAATTTGGACAGCCTCATGTGACTAGCAGCTACCATACTGTACAGTGCTATCTGTCTTCTTTGTCTCAACATGGTTTTAACATTACTTCAGTGTGCTTCAGCAGCTTCTCACTGCTGAGTAAGGTTTTTACATTTTTAAAATTTTTATTTTTAGTTGTATGCCAATCATATTCTATGATATATGTATATATATCATAGAATGGACCATTTAACCTTCTTAAGTGTGCAATTCAGTAGCATTAAGTCCTTTCACATTGTTAATTGTGTGACTGTCACCTCCATCTACTCCAGAACTTTTTCACTTTCCCCAAGTGAAACTCTGTGCCCATCAAACTCTAACTCTGAAGTCCCCCACCCCCAGCTCCTGGCAACCATAACTACTCTCTGTTGTTAGATGAGTTTTCGTTGCCAAGTTAGATTTTTGCTGCTGGCCAGCATTCATCTTTCTCCATCTCACCCTGAGTTGCTTAGGAGCTGATCCTTGAAGGTTTGCTGTGTAAAGTGACAGTTCATCTATAAGCTTTGGCTTCTGCACATTCTCCGTGACTAGAGCAGGCTTTTTGCAGCAGAGCCTTCCCTTCTATTTCTTTGAATCACACTGGATGCCCCGCCATGTGGTTGATAGAGACATGTCTGCTCACGATGAGTTTTTGGCATCTGTTGGGGAACTTGGGTAGGACACCAGCATTTGCTGAATTCTCAGGAGTCCCAGGCATGTTCTCTCCAGTGTGTCAGCAGGCCCTCCACAGCCCAAGGTCATCTAAACCTGAGCTCCTCAGTAAGGCCTGAGCCAAAGCTCAGGAATCCACCCTCAGGGCTCCTTCTCTATTTGTCTCCAGGCCTGTTCTTTCCCAATAGCTGGGGACTAAAATGAACCATGCCTCCCAAAATTTGACAGAGAGTTGGGAGAAGAGACACTGTTTGCATTTGAAGGCTCAACTAAATTGCTGGAGTCATGGTCAGGGTGGATTAATCAACTTTTATAAATAGGCCCATCACGCAAACACGTGATCACAACAGAGAGTGTGTTTATCCCATGGAACATTCCAGGGTGAACGCTCCAGCAGGGGTGGGTGGGTGCTCTGCTCCACATGCCCACTCAGGGACACAGTCTGCCTTCCAGTCTGCCAGTTTCGCACATGGATCCCAAGATGACTCTACTGTTGGGTCACTTCAGCTGAAGGGCAGGAAGACAGAGCATGAGGAATAGCATGGGAGGATTCTTGGCCAGGACCAGAGTGACACCAATCACTTCCAATTAAGAGAATTTAGTCACGGAGCCATACTTAACTACAAGGGAGGCTGGGAAGTGTGCCTGGTAAGGAGAGGGGACTGGATTTTGGTGATCACTAGGTGTGTTTGAGAGCTTCTGAGCAATAACACTTTTATAGGAATCTTCTGTGGGGACCTTCACTTTTGAACTTTGCTTCCTGAGTCTCTCTCTGTCTTTCTGACACACACACACACACACACACACACACACACACGAAGCACACAGTAATAATCAGCTGTCACTGTTCTTAGTTGATTCTTAGTTCTGACTCAGCATTTACTAAGCAATCCCAAGTTCCCCATCTAGATTCATCTAGTGGGAGAGAATTCCTCAGCTAGTGGATGGGAGTGTTAGGCTGTCTAGATAATTAGGTTTTGGGCTAGACATTGCCATCTGCCCCAATCCTTCCATCCTCTCCTTACTGCAGAACCAGATTTTGTACAAAGCAGCGAAGCACTTGTCTGACGCCCACCCACCACCCCTCCCCAGGCACTCACTCTTGCACAGGCTCCTGTGCTGCTAGAAGTTGTTGGGTAAAAGGTTAATAAGAGAAAAGCAGAGGTGCCCTGGCTGGGGCTTCTGGAATGCCATCGTATTCCTGCTAGAGGAGAAAAAAAAAAAAAAAAAAAAGAGTAGACATGGCAGGTTGGCTGGTCTTCTGCTCAGTCTCCTCTCCATCTTCTGCCTTCTTTCTACCCAGGGTGCACTCATGGAGTAGAGCAGCCCCCTTGTATCCAGGAGGGGAACAGATGAAGGAAATATGAGTGAACTATGGACCTGGTTGATTTGGTGTTGGCTCATTAACTGTAACAAAAGCGTTACTGTGGTGTAAGATATTAATATTAGGGGAAATGGGGGTGAGGATGGAATGGGAAACTCTCGGGACTAGCCACTCAGTTTTTCTATAAACCTAAAACTGTCTTTAAAAATAAAGTATATTAATAAAAAGTATATTTTCAAATGGAAATTATAGAAATAAAAAATATGATATGTGTTGGGCAGAATAATGGTCCTCAAAGATGTCTACATCCCAATCCCTGGACTCTGTAAATATGTTGCTTTGCTGGAAAAAAAGGCCTTGAGATGAAGAGATTGGCCTAGAGTATCTTCACATCATCCATCTAATAATACAGGCCCTTAAAGGAAGAGACTCTTTCTCAACTTTCGTCAGAGAGAGAAGTGACTATGGAAGAATGCTCAGAGAGATACAGCATTGTTGACTTTGAAGATGGAGGAAGGGGGCCATGAGCCAAAGACTATGGGAAGCTTCTAGAAGCTTGAACAGTTAGGAAACTGATTCTCCCCCAGAGCTCTCAGGAGGGAATGTAGCATTACTGACAGTTTAATATTAGCCCTGTGAAGCCTGTGCTGGAATTCTTAACTATGGAAGAGTAACACAGTCTGTCTGTGTTGTTTTAAGATAACAAGTTCAGACTTGTTACGACAAGTCTATGGCAGCAATAGAAAAAACTAACAGAACTAAAAAATTCATTGAATGAGCTTTAATAACAGAGTGCAGATGACAGAGGATAGAGTTAATGAACTCAAGGATGGAGTAACAGAATTCACCCAATTGGAACTAAAGGAAAAAGAAAAAGGGATAGAGCCTCAGGGAACTATGGGGGCAAAAACAAAATATCAGCATTTGTGTTATTGGAATTCTCAAAGGAAGAAGGGAAAGTGGTGCTGAAAGAGCACTCAAATACACATGCTCCTTGATTTATGGGATTACATCCTGACAAGCCCATCATGATTTGAAAATATTTTAAGTAAAAAATGTATCACACCTGATATACTGAACAGCAGAGCGAAGCAACACAGACTACTCCTGCAGGATTGGCTCGTTACCTTCACAGCCCCGTGGCTGATGGGGAGCTGTGACTCACTGCTGCTGCCCACCATGGCTAGGGTCCCCTAGTGCACATTGCCAGCCTGACAAAAGATCAAAATGCAAAATGGTTTCTACTGACTCTGCATTGCTTTCATGCTGTTGTAAAATGGAAATAGCACTAATTTTGAATGGTTGGGAGTCATCAAGGACTATATCTAATGGCTAAAAACATCCAAAAATTTGTTTAGTATATGAACCCATAGATTCAAGAAGGTGAGAGAACTCCAATCAAAATAAAATTGAAGAAACCCATTTAAAGATCCATCCAAGTTAAACTTCTAAAAAAGAGAAAATAATATTTAAGAGCAGCCAGGGAGTAATGGCCTACAGAGGGAAAAACAAACAAACAAACAAACAAACAAACTTCTCATGTGGACTTCTCATCTGAAAGCATGGAAGTAGAAGGAAGTAATACCAAATTTTTATGTGCTGAGAGAAAACAACTATCAACTGTAACTTCCAAATCCAGCTAATCTATCATGCAGGAATGAGGAAGAAATGAAGATATTCTCAGATGAAGGAAAGCTGAAGGAATTTGTCACTAGCAGCTACCCTTAAAGACTGGGTAAAGGAAGTTCTACAAACAGAGGATATAAGAGAAAAAATCTTGGAGGATCAGGAAGGAAGAAGAAAAAATAGAAATGGCAGAAATATATGGATACATATATTAGACTATCTTTATGAGTTTTATGAATTATATTTCATGACTGAGATTTTGCCCTGATACTCAAGATATCAAAAGGGGGAGAGTAAAGGTATCTATGGGGAAGTGATGTTGGAGTGGTAAGATGGTAAAATGGTGATACTAGTGATGGTGATTTATCACCTTTGTATATTGTAATATCCAGAGCAACTACTAATGAAGTATACAAAGAGATAAATAAATCAAAATGGAATCCTAAACAATGTGTAAGTAACCCAAGAGAAGACAAACAGGGATGAGAAACAGGGAAAAAGCAGAAAACAAATAATAGACTATAGACTTGCAGCTGTGTGCAGTGGTGCTCACCTGTAATCCCAGTAGCTTAGGAGGCTAAAGCAGGAGGATTGTGAGTTCAAAGCCAGCCTCAGCAATTTAGCGAGGCTCTAAGCAACTCAGCTAGACCCTTTGACTAAAAATATATAAAAATGGCTGGGGACGTGGCTCAGTGGTTAAGTGTCCCTGGGTTCAATCCCTGGTACCAGGAAAAAAAAAAGGTAGCCCTAGGCACTAACATGTTAATAGTTACCTTTGAGGGCTGGGGATGTGGCTCAAGCGGTAGCGCTCGCCTGGCATGCATGCGGCCCGGGTTTGATCCTCAGCACCACATACAAATAAAGATGTTGTGTCCGCCAATAACTAAAATAAATAAATAAATATTAAAAAATTCTCTCTCTCTCTCTTAAAAAAAAAAACAAAAAACAAATAGTTACCTTTGAGAAGTCCAATTCCAAGCCAAAATTCTATGCAAGCCTTTCCTTGTCCCAAGGTCACTGTTGACACTGTTCTCTTTTCAGGACATGCACCTTCACTTCCACCTCCACCTGGGTAATTTCAGCTCATCTTTCCCACTTCAGTTAAAACATCACCTCCTCCGGGTCTTCCTGACTGCCCAGGCTAGAGGAGGGTGCATGATCTTCTGTGTTTCCCGTAGTTCTATGGGTTCCCTCCTTTCACGCCCAAGATGCATTGTCATTTCTTATTTTTGCCTATACTTGCACCAGAATGTGAACTCCATGTGAACAGAATGGTGTATGTTTTGTTTGCTGTTGAACAGTACCTGGCACCTAGTAGCAGCTCAGAAAATGTTGGATGAATGATTAATTTATCTGCTGAGAAACAAACACAGGCATGTGGCCCTCCCGGTCAACTGGGCAAATGTTAAGAGAAAATCAATTCTGAACCTTCTAACTGTGTGTCATGCACCTCCAAGTCCTTGTTTATCCCTCACCATTGCCCCCTTGAGATAGGCATTGCCATACCATTCCACAGGGGAGCAAACTGAGGCTCCTGGAGGGGAAATATTGCTCACAGGGTCACCTGGTAGGTAAAGCACAGTCAGAATCTGGCCTTGTAATTAACTCTGCACCACCAAAGGCACTGCCTGCCCTTTTACAGTTGCCCCTAGGAGTTGAGAGGAGCGACATTGGCTGTGCACCTGTTCTGTGCCAGATGCGGATCTTCCTCAGGCTTACCAGAGACTGCTGGCGTAGAAATCTGGGAGGAGAGGTCACCTGCTGAGGTCACTTAGCTGAGAAGGGATAAGCAGGTACCCTAGGGTGTTCTGACTCAAAGGCTGGTGGGCCCAAGCAGAGTGGTCGCACCTCAGAGTCACCTCCCAAGTTGACTACCAGGTGCTAGAAGCTTCCATTAAGACTTGTGGCATAAGAACAGAAAGAGACACAAATCCATGACTCATCTGGGTGAAAAAGGGCAGAGAATGGAAGGCCCATTGACTGCTGGTGGTGACTGGCCTGTCAGATGGAGATCAACCATGAACTTTGGGCCCTGAAGAGAATCAATTCTGGAGAGAGCGAGGGAGATGCAGGGAAGTTCCCCCAATACCCTCCCTGGCCCCTGCCTGCACAGGGCTCCAAATCACAGTGCTCCAGGTCAAGTGGCCAAAGAGAGCTGCCTCGGTTTCCATCTCTAAAATGAACCTTCTCAAGACTGCAAGACTGATATGAAAGAAGTGTCATCAGGCCTTTGACAACTGGTCCCTGAGGCCCAGAGAGGCCCGAGAACTAACCCAGGTCACATGGCTAACTAGGGGTGGTGTCAGGGCTTTGGACTCCCAGCACAGTGCTCTCCGTCCTGCCCCAGGATATGCTCATGCCTTCTTTCTCACCTGGACAGCCGAGGAGATGAAGAAGCAGCTGCTAAGCAGCAGGGTGTAGGGGTGATGGTGGAGGGTGTGACATAGAGTGAGCCAGAGAGAGAGCTGGGGTGCTTCTCGGGGGCTGAAGAACCCTGGGAGGGAAGACCTAGGTCAGATCCGGGTGTCCAGGCACCTATGGTCTCAATTGCATTCTCAAATTTTCTAAACCCAACAGTAAGTATGCAAAATAACATGACCTTTGGGGTGACTCCAGGGGCCTTGACTTTCTTCCCGTGACTGAATTGGTACCCACCCTGGGGGCAAGAAGAGCTCTTGTTGCCTCTGGGTCTCTGGTCCCCAACTCTTTATTTTTTCCATGTCCAGGAGAAAGATCTGGAGAAGAAGATGATGGTGTTGTCTGTAAACTGCCACAGTAGCAGATTTTCTGGGGACAATGATGCTGTCTCCTGGTACCAAGACACATCCCAAGGCTGGGTCACCGCAACTGCTGGCTACCCAACAGGAAACCCAGGCCCAGAGAGCAGGTGCCAATATCTATCCTCATCTTGGCCCTTGGGGAGGCAGCATGGCAGGACCCGCTGCCTGTCCCCGCTGGCTCTGCATACAGAAGTGGGAGGATGTGGAAGATCCACATGCATGGAGGGCCAAGCATGAGAGCAGCGTTTCCGGTCCCACCCCAGGCCTCCCAGGCTCCCCCATACCGTAAGCCTCCCCTCCCCTCTCTCCATCTGACAGGTTCCTGCCTTGGAAGCCCGACCAAGCCGTGCCTCCTTTGCAAGCCCTCCTGGATTCCCCAGCCGTGGAACCTCTACAGCCACCCCTGGGCTGGGAATGCTCATCTTTCCACAGAATAATGGGTTTTTCTAGGGAAACTATGGTCTCAGAAGGGGCAGGTCTTCCAGATGACCTCTGCCCCACCTCTACCCCCTGGTGTCCTAAGTTAGAGCAAGGCCAGGTTGACAGCACCTGTCCTTACCCCACCCCCTTGCTAGCTCAGCAAATTACTTTACCTCTCTGTGCCTCAGTTTCCTCCTCTGTGGAATAAGGATGGCAAAAGACCCTACCTGATAAGGTGTGGCGAGAACATGGCATTGTCATTTCTTCTCTGAGCATTGCAAGCAAAATATTATCAGCTGTAAGACTGGAAAACGCCACACCACACGACACAGATCACCAAAGAGGTTCCACTTTATTACCAAAGGCTGTGTGTTTATATAGGTCTAAGGAGAGGTATCAGGGCTGAGGTAGATAACGGGTCACCCGTTTATTGGAAAGCTCTTCCATATGTCAGTTCCGGAACCCAAGAAGTTAATTCTTATTGGGGCTAAGGCTTCCCACCAGCAGGATTTGAACATTGCCACCAGTAGGAACGTTTCGCGCCAGTGAAAGAAACAAAGAGGAGAAAGAGGGTCGTTAGACGCCATGTTGGGGTTTTTCTCTGGGGTGCTGCTGCCATTATATGTTTTCCCAACATTCCTCCCTTTTTGTTTTCTTAGGAATTGGGGCGTCGCTGGTCAGATCTGGCTGCTTCCGGCTGTGCTGGGGTGGTGTAGGGCCTAGAAGGGAAAGTGGAGGAATGTTGGGGAAGGCAGGTCTGGGGATATCATGGCAGCCAGAAATAAAACCCAGTGGCTATAGACAGCTACTTCTGTAGGGGTAAAGTCTATAAAAGTTCCCTGAAGCCACAAGTCGTTGATGGCATCGAACCACTCCTGGATGGAGATTGTTGGTATCAGCCACTGGTCCTGTAACAGAGACTCTAGGAAATATTAGAAGCATTGCCTTGACATGGCATCACCAGCACCTGAAGAAGATCAGAGCAAACAAAAGCAGGATGAAGATAAAAATTAAAGCAAATGTCAATTTTTGGCAGAAGTTCCATGTCGGGGGACTGACAGAGAACCATTACACCATTACACCAAGGGCCATGAGGAGGCTTAAAAGGACATAAAGGCTCAAGAATCCAGGATGGCAGATTAAGAGGTTCTCCGGGCTCGTTGTCTCCCACTGTCCGATGTCCATTGCATTCCATCGAGCCTGGTAGTGAGCTTCAGCAATGAGTGAGCTGTTCTCTTGAAGATGTTGGGGGGCTCATTGGTCATCAGAGGCTGCTAGTACCTAAGCAGAGGCTGGTTGAAAGTTTGGTTAGAGATCTTCCATAATTGGCCCTGAAGGAAGTGAAGCAGACAGGGCAGGAACAGACACATCAGGAAAAGAAGACATATGGGCCTTAAAAGAGGCAACAGCCACGATTGGAAGTGGGCTAAAAAGAAGGTGGCAAATGGGTTTTGGTTTGGTGGATTTTTCAAAGAGGTAGCCAAGTCGGTGAGCTTGACTACATTAGTTTCCACAAGGCCTGATTCATTGATGTAGTAACAGCATTCTTCCCTCAAGAAAAGACAGGTTCCACCTTTTTCGGCTGTGAGTAAGTCTATAGCTCGTCGATTCTGAAGAGTGACCTGAGCCAAGGATGTGACCTGCCTTTGTAAAGATGCTAGAGATTCTGCCGTAGAAGTGAGCGCTTGTTCAAGTTTAGAACTTAAGTCCTGTACAGCCCATAAGGAGTGTCCTAGAGCTCCACCAGAAATTTCTGCTCCCACCGCAGATGCAGCCAGTGAGAGACCCACCAGTATTGGAAGGGAAGCAGCCTGCTTATTCCGCACTAGGGGAGACAAGAGGGCCTGCACTTCAGCTGGGGTATAGAGAGTCAACTGTGGGACATGTGTCACCAGTATACATGGGGTGGAGGTGTTGGTGAATAAGATAGTGATGAGAGAACCATTACACCAGAAGAATGAGCCAGGTGGTGCATAGAGGGTGAAGTTAAAGGTGATGTTAGAGTGGCAAAACTTTGACTGGGAGACACCCAAGCCCAGAAGGCAGCACCGGGGAATCACAGTATGGTTAGACTCCTCGGGCTCTCATAATGGAGCATTGGGTGAAAGGGTTTTGAGAGAATGGCGGGCAGATGGAGTGGAGAAATTTGAGAGGTCAGAAGCCGAGAAGTTCAAGGGAACCGCTGCAAGCAAAGGTCGAGTCAGAGAGGCGCATAAGTAGCAATCAGTTGGTGTGATGGCGGGGAAGGTTAGATTTAAGAAGGTTACAGTTTCAGTAAGTAGTCATAGCCATGAATACTGTGGTGGACTCCTCACATTAGGCTCATATGGATCCTGTATGGAGTCTAACTACTGCTGTTTGGAATGCTTTAAGAGGAGGACGATGATGTCCCCTGGAAAAGGGTGATGACTGTGAAAATACCACCTAGAAGAGTGGGAGTCATGGTGGAGTATGGGCGGTTATGCGAGACAGGCGAAGCTTTAGAGGATAGTTAGGATGTGGAGAGCAGGAGTAAAAGGGAGGTCTAGGAGGTGACTCTTGAGGCTCCTCTGGGGTAGTCTTGTCATCGGCAGGTGGGGGGGCCTCCTGGTGATATGGCTTCAACAGGATTCCTCAGTTTGATCTGCTATGAAGCATAGCATTGCTGAACATAAGTGGGATGAGGTGGCCCAGTTGAATCCAGTAACATTAAGGGCCCGATTACAGCCAGTGAAAGGCCAATCACGTTGGCCCATAGACTGAGAGTGGATGGTGCCATCCTGTTGCCATGTCGCTTGGATGTAGAAGCGCCATCTGTGGGTTGGGATAGAAGCTTGAGAGAGATTAATGATTAGTAATAGGAGAGGGTTGGCAAGAAACCTTGAGTTTGGTGGGCCCCAGCATGGTGGAAATATGACTGTATGGGGTCCTGTCCCGTGAGGTTTCAACGACTGAGAATGTAGCTCTCGAAATAAGACTGCATCACTCGGTTGAAGAGGGTCCAATTTAATTCCCGATTGTGCTGGAACAGAAGTAACAGATGGTGCAGGAAGACACCAGTCTGCGTGTTCTCTTAGGAGTTTGTATAGAAGCATGAGATAGGGCAGGTGGGAC